TGCTGCGGCACTTGCGGAAACCAAATTGAGAAGGGGAGAGGAGGTGATGGTGTTCCAGGAACCACATCAGACGAACGTTAACCATACGTTCAAAGAGTTTGCAGACACAAATTGTGAGAGCAATAGGGCGAAAGTCCTTAGGGGAAGTACCCAGAGACCCCGGTTTGCGAACAGGGAGGACAACGGCATCGAGCCAGTCCTCAGGGACTGACGACGACTCCCAGATCCGATTATACAGACTCAGTAAATACTGAGACGTGCTCGGAGGGAGATGGCGAAGCATCTCATAATGAATACCATCGGAGCCCGCCGCCGTAGAACCGCAGAGGGCCAGGGCAGAACGAAGTTCAGAGAGAGAGAAGGGATCATTATAGGGAAGCTGAAGATGAGTGCAGAAATCTAAAGGACGAGACTCAAGGACAGGTTTACGAAGAAGGAAAGATTGGGGAAGATGAAGACCAGAGCTAACAGAAGAAAAGTGGGAACCCAGTTCGGAAGCGACCTGCAACGGGTCCGCCACAAGAGTATCATGGAGGTGAAGGACCGGTGAAACATCGGGAACGAACTTACCCGCTATCTTGCGGATACGCTTCCAGATCTGGGCCAGAGGGGTCTCGGACGTAATTGTTGAGACATAAGATGCCCAACATTCACGTTTAGCCGTACGGATGGCCCTACGGGCCACCGCACTCGCTTTCCGAAAGAAAAGAAAAGAATCGGTCGTCTGCCTACGGCGGTGCCTCTTCCAGGCTGCACGCTTACAGCGGACAGCCCGAGCACAGTCCGCATTCCACCAGGGAACGCACTTCCGTGGACCCCGAGAGGAAGAGCGAGGAATAGAGCGGAGGGCAGCGTTGAAGACAGTGTCATGAAAAAGGAGGATAGCGCGAGAGAGAGGCAGAAGGGAGAGGTCAGGGAGAGCAGCACTGAGGGTAAATAGGGTCCAGTCTGCCTTAGCAAACTTCCACCTAGGGAAAGAGAGGGAAGGGCGAAAAGAGAAAAAGGAAACAAGGATGGGGAAATGATCACTTCCATGGAGGTCATCAAGAACCTGCCACGTGAAATCTAAGTAAAGAGAAGAAGAGCAGAGAGAAAGATCAAGACAAGAAAGGGTGCGAGTCCGAGAGTCCAAACGAGTGGGCTCACCAGAATTCAGAAGAGACAGGGAAGAAGAGAGGAGAAACGGCTCAAGGAGGCGACCCCGGGTATTCGTCAGAACGTCACCCCAAAGAGAATGACGACAATTGAAGTCACCCAGCAGGAGCACAGGCTCCGGCAAGGAGTCCAGGTGGTGTTTCAAATCAGGAAGAGAGAGTGGGACACTCGGGGGGAGATAAATGGAACAAACCGTGAACCATTTCCCCACAAAGATACGAGCAGCAGAACAATGGAGAGGCGAAGGAAAAAGTAAAGGAACAAAGGGAACATCAGCCCGAATCAAAAGAGCAGAAGAATTAGAAGCCCCAGCAATGGCTGGGGGGGGGGGGGAGAGAAAGGAATAACCACGAAAACGACCAGGACGAGCACCAAGCATTGGCTCCTGGAGACAGACACAAAGGGGCGAAAACCGCGAAATCAGAAGTTGGAGTTCGAGGAAATTGGCGTAATAACCTCGAACGTTCCATTGAAGAATGGACAACGACGAGAAGAGAAAGAACAAAAACAGAGAACAAGGAAGAAACAAAGGCGAAAGAGCAACAGAGCACGTTAAAGAATATCAGGGTCGGGATCAGGGTCAGCAAAGTCAGGGTTAGGGGGCATGGGTAAACTGAGCAAAGACGGAGGGAAGGAAACGGGAGAACAGAGCAGAGTTAGGCGGGCAGGGTCTGGAGGAGAAGGAGGAGGAGGAGGAGGAAGAGGAGGAGACAACGGAGAGGAGCCGTCAAGGACAGCAGCAGGAGGAGGGGGAGTAGAAAGAGGGGAGCGCACCCCAGTAAGAGCAGCAACCGAAAGGGAAGCAGGGGCCAAAGAAACCTCCATAGCAGGATCAGGGGGCGCAAGCACTGAAACGGGAGGGGAAGGAGCAACAGAGCCAGAAGGAGGAGCTGAGGAAGAAAGCGAAGCCTTCTTACCCGCCGGGGAAGAGGAAGGAGAGGAGCCAGGCTTACGCTTCTGACTTAAAGAGACCGGTGTCCCAGCAACTACGTACCGGGCAACGGATTCCAGTGTCTCAACAGGAGAAGCCGAACGAGAGCACACACGACGGCCGTTAGGAGAGCGATGGACATCCGCCCGCACCGACAGGCGGTGGGGAGAGCCAATAGATGAAGGAAGAGGATGGGAAGGAGGATCGGAGGGGGACGAGGAAGAAGACACAGAAGACACGACAGACCGGGTAGAAGGAAGGGGAACCCCAGACAGAGGACCAGGAGGAGGATCCTTCGGGAGAGAACCCAAAGGAACAGAGGAGGGGGCAGTGGGCGCATCAGGGTCCAAGGCCCGGAAACGGTTGTGAGTCTGAGGAAGGCGGGAAGGACGAGGAGAGGAAGAGCGCAACACGCGAGCATAAGAGATATTAGCATAAGGCGGGAGCCGGCGAACCTGGCGCCTCGCCTCACGAAAAGATAAACGCTCCCGGTGCTTCAGGTTGAGGACGGCTGCCTCAAGCTTGTAATGGACACACGCACGGGAGAAGGTAGGATGAGCCTCACCGCAGTTGAGGCAACGAGCCTGGGGAGAAGTGCACTCCGACTTAGAGTGACCTTCGCCACCACACAAAGGACAGAGAGAGACAGTCCCAGAGCAGCGGAGGGCACCATGCCCAAACCTCCAGCACTTGTTGCAGAGCCGAGGAGAAGGAATGTACTCCTGGACAGAGCACCTGGCACCAGCAAGAATGACAGAGGGTGGAAGGGTCCTACCATCAAAGGTAATCTTCACAACCCGGAGGGGTTGACGGCGACTACCACGAGGGGGACGAGTAAACGTGTCCACCTGGAGAATAGAATGGCCCTGGGCAGCGAGGATATGGCGAATATCGTCGTGGCAGTCGCGCAGGTCCCGAACACCGGTTGCAACATGGGGCGGGAGCAAAATAATGCCAACACTGGCATTCAACTGAGCGTTCTTCGAGACCCGAACGGGGGTCTCGCCAAGGCAGGATAAGGCAGCCAAGCGGGAAGCAGCATCCTGAGAAGGAGCAGCAACGACACGTGTACCGAGACGAGTGGGGTTGAAAGTAATGGAGGCATCCATGGAATCAATGAGATGTCGATGGAGGGAGAAATCGTCAGGAGGCGCAGAATCAAGAGGGAGGAGATCAAAATATTTGGCCCACGAAGCGGGACCAAACAAGGCTTGATAGGTAGCAGAACTGGAAGGAATCTAGCGAGGGCGGCCGTGACGAGGACGGCGGTGAGAACCCCCAGAGAGAGAGGGGTTAAAAGGCGCAGTAGTTACAACTAGAGAAGGAGCCGCGCCAGGGGACGAGGTAGTCACCACTGGGGGCTTGGGGCTCGACCCAACCACAGAGGAGGGAGGGGAGCCATGGGAAGGAGTCAGAGAGGCCAGAGGAGGAGCAAGGTCGGGGCCCAATGCAGCGGAGGCTACAGAGCCCGGTCTTCCATACGGACCGACTCGGGGGCTTGGTCGCCCACCCCACGAGCCTGAGAAGGTAAACCAGAAGAAGCCGAAGCAGGGGTAATCATCTTGACGAAAAGAAGAATCCACTCACGAATGTGCCCCCACACCCACCATGGAGCCACAATTAGAGGCAGGACACCCAACAAGAAGCTATCGCCGATCTTGTCGGGGCCTCCTAGGGGTGCGTCGCGAGTATACGCCCCACAAACGCCACCTTAAGAAACCGACAGTCCGTCGAGATCGGGTTCAGTGACGAAGTGGGGATTGACAATAAAAGGTTCCCCTCGCTCTCTACGTCGGGTACTGCAGTTCTACGGGTGCATGAGTATGCCTCCTCAAGCACCCGCGCGTCAAAATAGAAGAAGTCCAAGGGAAGAACCAGAACGAGCAAAAGGTCGGCAGGAAACGGCAAGCAGGGAGAAGAGGGGGGAGAAAAACGAAACAGAAGGAAAAGGAAAAGATGCCCAGCAGAATTGGAGAGGACGGCAGCAGGAGCACAAGGCTAGAAAAGGACAGAGGACTGTCCCAAGGAGCATCACACTCCGGCAGCCGCCCACTAAGCCCCCACACGGCGACAACGAGCTGAGAGGGGAGGGGGGTTAGTAATTATCAAAAGAAGGCACCAAACCGGAAACTGCACCTGAAACAAACTTTGTTCTTCATCCTTGATAGGTTAAGTCTCCATCCTCTTCCTTCTGGCTATCTCGGCATTGTTCGGGCGTCTATTCCCATCTCCGTAACGATGTTTGCAGACACTATTAAGCCTAATGTTGCCTTTGGGCAGCACTAGACTTAGAATGTTTGTTTAGACAGCATTCAGATGAAAATATTAAGTCATGGGTCAGAGTGTAGTTTCAAGTGTTAGGTTGTCTAGATTCTGCTACTTTAACAAAATATCCATGTAGCATGGGCTACGGCGAGACTATAGCCGTAGGTATTCAGCAAAGCTTAGGAATAGTGCTAGTGTCACGATTTTGCTGGACCATTTCCTTAGGGCCACGGGCTATACATGGCAATCAAGAAAGGAAAAAACCAAATAGGACCAGAGTAATCCGAATGACGTCAGAGCGAGTCTTCGAATCTTTTGAACAGAAGTCTTTAGAAGACGACCAAACACTAACACGACCCAGCCGATGGCAAGGATCATTATATCTGTGGCCGCGTAAAGACGCCAAATCATGAAATCTGTTAAGTATCTTTACACCCTAGTCCGGGAATGATGTTCGCTGCATATGTAAAACTTTAGAAATCTGTACTAATAGTGGCAGAATGACAGGTCATAATCTATCATTCGCAGAGATTTCTTAGTACTGTACGACCCAGAAAATCTGGAAAACAAAGTAGCTTATACCTGCAGAAAACTTTCAAGATTCCTATAGACAAGTCTTTATACCAGAGGGGGGTAGAAAAAAAGAAAGTTTTAGGTAGAATGTGAAAACTATTTAATATTAGTTTATTGCTTCAAGCATTTATAAAACAAAAGTCTCTAGGACGTGAATTAAGGTTGTATCCGTTACAGTCTAAATAAAAGAAAACCAGTGAAAGTTGTATAGGCCTCGTCGCCGGGGTGTTCGTAGATCATGCCCTGTTGAAGGTCCAGCCCGATCCTGTCATACCGACGCAACGCCAAAAACGCCGAATTAGAGCCGTGTTCGTAAGACGTCCGGGTGCCATAGGCCGTCACCTCGTATTCACCGTTCTTCATCAAGGCCATTCTGTAGTAGAGATTAACATTCAGTAAAACTGGCAAACTTAAGAAACAATTTTGTACATGAATATTTAGGAAATTTACGAATTCCTCCTCTCCCCTGTCTAAACATTTCGGCTGAACGGTAGAGCGATGGACTCTGCAGTTCAATCCCCTCCCGTCCAAGCAGTTGGGCCATCATTCCTTACCCGTCCCATTCGAAATCTTTATCCTAATCTAGTTCCTAATGCTGTGTAGTTGTAATGGCTGTGCGCTTTCCCCCCCCATAATTCCACTCCCCCCCCCCCCCATTAACTTACGTGAAGTCCGTGGTCCGAGAGCCTACAGCATGGAAGACAAAGTAGTAGCCGCCGTCAAAAGGAGCTGTGAACAGGCTTGTAGAAGGGTTCCAGGCACCACCTATGTTAGTCAAAACATCCTGCAAGGGACATTCTTACGTAGGAACATAACCTCAGAGCATATTTAGTATTCCTTAACGAAAAAAAAGCGAAGCCAAACTAAAGCAGTTAAGTTTAAAACATTAGGTACCGTTTATATAGTATCAATACACATTTGAACTATTACATGCACTTCTTACCCGGAAGTGGACCCGGGTAAAGGCGCGTAGGTTTTCACTAGCTTTCCTCACACTGAAGGCCACGTTACTGCTGCAAAATAAAAATTTGTTAGAATGGAGAAGGCGAGATCCATTTAAAGCCACAACAAACAGGATATTATGACTACGTGGTATATTTTTAAGGTTGGGGGGGGGGGGAATCCTACTTTAGTAGGAAAAAAGAACATTCAATTCGCAAAAACCTTTCCCAAAGTTACATGCCAAGCGAGTAAATGTGCTAAAAATCACAAGGGAAGCTTTGCTATAGCTCTTACAATAGATACATTTTCAAGCAATGTTCACCCACCTTGCCACGGGAAAGGGGGAAGGTAACCCAAAAAGACCGGGAAATAACTGCCGGGGTTCGAGGCTGGGCGAGCGTGTGGTAACATTGCCTTCGTCAGGGGTCTCGAGAAGTGTAACGTTGGAAGAGTTTTCTTGCTGCTGTGCATTAACTACCACGGCAATTGCAGCCGCAACGACGAGGGCAAGCGGTGACATCTGATTACAAAAATAAACTAAAAATAATAGACAGAACAAAAATATATACAAGTTTATTCTAGAAACTTAACATAACCGTTTCTGCAGACCTTTCAGCCTTCAGTGAACTAGACTGAAAATAATTGGAAACCAATACACATGGCCGACAAGCCAGTAGTTACCCATAAGTTTTTTTTTATAATCTAGAATGGCCAAATTTGGCTATCCGTAAACATTTAAGAAAATGCATTGCATCTCCAAATTTCAGTAAAACCAAGACTAATTATATATCAAATGACGTATAATCCGAATTAAACTTTTATAGTAATGTATACTAATATCATTACAATAATTAAACTACAGAGTCACACGTAATAAATCAAACACCAAAAGACCCACTAACTTGGCTTAACCTTTTAAGACAACAGAACTCCGACTGCTTAAATGCAAGACACTGTCACCAGTTGTAAACTCGCAGCAAATACACATCAGACAGGACTTACAATAATGACAAAAATCACTGCGTAGCCAAGAGTGTGAGTTGTCTAAACATGATCGCATGGACTATACGCCATCTGTTGGGTAGGTTACGTACTATGAGTGAAGGAAAATTTCGAGTGTGTCAGCTAATTCTACAGCAATCTCTAGAACACACTTTCAATAAGCCCTAATACTTTCCTTATCATCAGTGACAACGTCCTTCATTAATATCGATTTCGCACACATAACGTGAAATCAGATATAATTTATTTTTACATGTATTTTGGTAATCAACTTTAACCAATTCAATTTACCATTTCGATGAAACACTGGTTATTAATGATTTGCGATTTCATTGTTAACTCATAACACTCGACGACTCTAAGGTCACTATCTACCAATGTTCTTCATGAGGTTATCTTGAGATGATTTCGGGGCTTAACGTCCCCGCGGCCCGGTCCTCGACCAGGCCTCCGTTTTGTTACACACCCCCTAGGAAGCAGCCCGTAGCAACTGTCTAACACCCAGGTACCTATTCACTGCTAGGTGAACAGGCGCAGCAGGGTGAAAGAAACTCTGCCCATTTGTTTGAGCCTCCTCCGGGATCGAACCCGGAACCTTAGGACTACGAATCCCGAACGCTGTCCATTCAGCTGTCAGGCCCCTTTATCAGACCAACAACACTTCTGCCCCACACGAAACTATTTTTTTAGTTAGTAATTACTAAAAGAAAGCACCCAGCCAGTAAGACAATATAGCACTATAATTTTCACCCGTGTATCTAATCAATTTTTTAAACATTCTAAATTACTATCATCAATAATGAAAGAGAGTAACTAATTCAACATACGATTGATAATGGTTCAGGACGGACCGAAACGTCATTGTTTCTTCATCTTCTGATGTGTGCTCTGGTCATCATATTTTCAGCCACGTAATTGTGACTCATCGTCTGCTAATCAATTCTCTTCGCTACAACCTAATTATCAAAATAATGTTAGCTTATATCATTTTAAATTCATTGTTTATCAAGGGGGAGATAAGATATCAGATTACATGTTGACGAAAGGCATCTACACAGGGATTATAACGGATGGTCGTAAATTGTTAAACCATATCCAACTCGTAACAATCACAAGTTTGGAATTGATTGTACAATTTCAGCTCTTGTTTATAACCTTCTTGTAAATACCTTTCATGAACTTGTAATCCTTGATTATATCTCCCAATGACTAAAGACTCTAGGGAGAATGCAAGCTATATTCTCCTATTCTGTCTTTTTAAGAAATATTTTTAATACTTTGGATTACCATTGTCATCCTACGTTGATGTTCATTTATAAATTATTTTATTCATTTATAAATTGTTCATTGTTGTTATATTTTATTCATTTATAAATAATCATTTATAAATTATTTTATAAGGTGACAAAAACTGAACCACATAACCAACGTGAGGCTCCTGTGTCTTGGGTGGAGTGTGGCGGTGTTGCCAGGAGTTGTGTGTGTCCCTGAGGAGGTTCCTGCTGTGGTGTGTACTCGCCCAGTTGTGCTAGCGGGGGTTGAGCATTGACTCTTTCGTCCCGCCTCTCAACCGTCAATCAACTGATGTACAGATTCTTGAGCCTACTGAGCTCTATCAAATCTACATTTGAAAGTGTGTGTATGGAGTCTGCATCCACCACATCACTGCCTAATGCATTCCATTTGTTGACTACCCTGACACTGAAAAATTCTTTCTAATGTCTCTGTGGCTCATCTGGGAACAAAGTTTCCAACTGTGTCCCTTTGTTCATGTTTCACCCATGGTGAAGAGTTTGTCCCTGTAAATCTCCTGAAAATTTTGTTGGTGGTTATCATGTCTCCCTTTACTCTTCTGTTTTCCAGGGACGTGAAGTTCAGCTCCCTTAGCCTTTCTTCGTAGCTCATACCTCTCAGTTCCGAGAATAGTCTGGTGGCATACCTCTGAATCTTCTCTAACTTTGTCTTGTGTTTAAATTGACTCCAAGCTGGAACTGCATATTCAAAGATTGGTCTCACATAAGTGGTATACAAGGTCCTGAACGATCCCTTATACAAGTTTCTTACCTTTTGATGTGGGCCTCTGGGGACAGGTTCGGTGTAATATCAACCCCCAGATCTCTCTCTCTATTTGACTCTTGCATGATTTCACCTACCAGATTGTACCTTGTGTTCAGCCTCCTACTCCCTTCGCCTAATTTCATTACTTTACACTTTCCTGAGTTGAACTTTTGTAGTCCTTTTCTAGACCATTCCTACAGTTTGTCCAGGTCGTCCTGTAGTCTCTGTCTATCTTCATCTGTCTTGATTATTCTCATAATTTTTGTATCATCGGCAAACATTGAGAGGAATGAGTTTATACCCTCTGGAAGATCGTTTATATATATTGAAAACAGGATGGGTTCAAGTACAGAACCCTGTGGGACCCCGCTTGTGACAGTTCGCCACTCTGATGTCTCCCCCCCCCTCCTCACAGTTACTCGCTGTTTCCGGTTTCTAAGAGAGTCCCTTATCCACTGGAGCATCTTACCTTTTTCTCCTGCCTGTTGTTCCAACTTTTGTAATAGCCTTTTATAGGCTACTGTGTCAACGGCTTTCTGACAATATATGAAAATGCAGTCTGCTCACTCTTCTCTTTCTTGCCTAATTCTTGTTGCTTGGTCATGGAATTGTACTAAACCTGTGAGGAACGATTTATCATCTCTGAACCCATGCTGGTGGTGTGTAACAAAACTATTTCCCTCCAGATGCTCTTCGAGCCTTTTCCTCACGATCTTCTCAATCATCTTGAACGGTACACAAGTTAGGGAAACTGGCCTGCTGTTCAGTGCCTCTTGCCTGTCATCCTTTTTGTATATTGAGACTACATTATATGTCTTCCAGCTTTCCGATAGGTCTCCTGTTTCCAGTGATCTGTTATACACCATTCAGAGCAACACACTTAGTGCTTCTGCACCTTCTTTTAGTATCCACGGTGAGATTCTTTCAGGCCCAACAGGCTTTGTCACATTCAGCTCCTAGAGATTCCTTTTGACCTCATCACTGGTGAGGTCAAATTCCTCCCAGGTTGCTTGGTTTCCCTCCTCCTCATTTAGTGCAGGGGCTTCTCCTTGTTCTATTGTGATGACCTCCTGTAATCTCTTGTTGAGTACTTCACACACCTTGTCATTCTCTGCGTGTCTTCTCCCCTTTTCTCAGTTTCATCACTTGTCCCTCCACTGCTGTTTTCCTTCCGATGTGGCTGTGGAGCAGTTTTGGTTGGGTCTTAGCTTTACTCGCGATGTCATTTTCATAGTCTCTTTGTTTCTCTTTTCACTCTGAAGTACTAGTTTTTGGCCCTCTGGTACCGCTCCTTGCTCTCTAGTGTTCTGTTATTCCTGGTGTTCTGTTATTCTCCATGGTGTTTTACTCAATTGCTTTGCTACCTTACATTCCTGATTGAACCATAGATTTTTTTATTGGTTTTAATTTTTCTCCTTCTGGGCTTGGATAAACCTGTCTGCAGTTTCCAGAAACTTCTGGGTAACATAGTCCATCATATCCTGTACAGTCTTTTCTCTGAGTTCTGTTTCCCATGGTATTCTCATTAGGAAGTTCCTCATCTCATTATATTTTCCTCTTCGGTAATTTAGTCTTTTCACTTCCAATCCCATCCTTGGATAGGTTATTCCTACCTCATCCAGATACTCAAATGTCAATACACTGTCGTCTCTCATTCCCATGGATGCTTCAAATTTGACTTCCCTTATTTCTGACTCATTCAAGGTGAATATCACTGGTCGAAGGTAGCTGGTTTGTCATTGCCTCTCATTAATTTGGCTCCTTTGATATGTTGATTTAGAAATTTCCTTTTTGCCACTTTTAAGAGTTTAACTCTCCTTGTATATGCACAAGAAGGGTTAACCATGTGGGTTCCTCCATTAATGTGGGTTCCCATTCTCCCAGTCTATTTTTCCAGGGCTGAAATCGTCCATGATTAAGAGTCTGGATCCATTCCTGCAGGCAACTGAAGCTGTTCTATTATAATATTTGTTGCTATGTTGTTTCTATCGAACTCCTGTCTGGGTCTCCTGTTATTTAGTGGAGGGTTGTAAATGACTGCTACTATTATCTTATGTCCACACATTGTCATAGTTCCTATTATGTAGTCTCTGAATCCTTCACAGCATGGAATTTCCATCTCTTCAAAACTCCAGCCCTTCCTTATCAACAGGGCCACTCCTCTTCCTTCCCTCTCTTTCCTTACTATATAGTAGTCCTTTGGAGACGTTTGGAAGCGTTTGTTATGACTCCTGACAATTTCAGTTTTGTGTAGTATGGTGCCTCCCAGGGTTGAGGCGGCTGCGTTGTTACGTGGCCATCTGTTGCGTGACCCTGTGCGATCTCCTGGTGTTCCTGATGTGGCACCTCAGGAGGTGGTTGATAGTCCTGCCGACAAGTACCTGGTATCGAAGCGTTCCTGTCGGGATCCCTGTTTGTCGAGATGTCACCTGGGCGAACGTGGTGGAAGCCGAGGAGCCGTCTGCTGCCGAGGATGCGGCTCTGGTGCAGCCTGTGTGGGGTGTTGCCATCGTGGTGGAGGGTGCCTCTGTTGTGGGGGTGGTGACTGGTATGGTAGCCTTGGTTTCTGCTCCTGTGCCCGCCCCCTGTTCCCGAATGGGAGCGTTCCCCAGAGTGGGGGATTGTTGCCCCTGCTGGTGTGAGTGGATTTGCATTTGATTTTGAAGACATGTTGCAGCTCTCCGATACCCCTGCCTCCCCTGCAGCTGGCCCTGGTGCCACCGGCCCCTGTGTTGCAGCCCTCTGTGGTTCCACCGGTACTGCCTCTGTCTCTTGTGCAGCCGCCCTCCGTGCTGCACACCCCTGTGCAGTCTTCTATGCCTCAGGCTTCTTTGTTCTGGCTGAACGTGCCTCTGCCCGCTATGCCGACGCCTCCTGTGGTGGTGGTTCGTCGCCCTAAACACCCGTCATCGTGCCTCTGTTTACAATGTGTTTAGGTTTTTTCTGTT